GTTGGGCAATTGTTAAGGGGGAGATTGTTGCAGGTTGCACAATTGTCCCGTGGCGCAGACCAGGTGGGCCAAGTCACAATCGGTGGCGTAGGCTAGATGGGCCAAGTCACAATCCAAGTGGGATTCCTCGTAGGACAATTGCTGAGGGGGAGATTGTTGCAGGTAGCATCAATTGTCCTGTGGCAGAGGCCGGGTGGGCCGAGTCACAATCGAATCGTGGCGCTTGGGCTGTTACTCTTAAGTAAAAAGAGTTGCGCTCTGACTAATGGCTATAGCTTTTGGCCTAGTGGTAAGCGCTCGATCCTAACAGCTATCTCAAATGTATTTCGCTTGAGCGACAATATTCTCGCTCGTGCGAAACGCCCCCTGCACAAAATTGGCATTCTCGGGTTGTATTTCGCTTGAGCGACACTACTCTCGCTCGAGCGAAATACGATTCTGATCGATCATAACTTGAAATGATCGATCATAATTGAGAGGATATAATAGCGGTTCCCTTATAACCGCTATCTGAAGTGTATATATGATAGCGGTTAAGGCTTATATGATATTCGAAGTGTATTTCAGCTTGAGCGAGACTACTCTCGCTCAAGCGAAATCCGATTCGATCGATTATATTTTCAAAATGATCGATCATATTTGATAATTTTTTCAAATAATTAATTATAATCGATTAGTTTTCTAAATTATTGATTAGAATTGATTAGTTTTTCAAATTATAGATTAGAATTGATTAATTTCAAAATATATACTAAAAAATTATAATTAAAACTATAAATTAGTTAAGAATATTGACTATTGTAAAGATAAAGTAGAACATGGGAGAAGATGAGGATGATAATATAATGATAGAACTTACAAAAATGTAGAATTGAGAAGTTTGAAACAAATAAAATTAAGAAAATAGATATTTAATTACACTTTTAATAAATTTAAGATAATACTAGTTTTGATTTTTATTTTTAAATATTTATTTTAATTATTTAAAACAGAGAAACTATAATTTTAGTTTCTAACTACTTGAATTTAAAGAATTAAATTTATTATTATTTAATCTTTTAATTTTAGTATTAAAATTTTAAATTATATTTTATTAAATTAAAATAATTACAATATATTTTTCTACTTTGAGAATGAACAATATAATTAAACTCAAAATTGACAATATTATAATATATTTTTGAACTCTTTTGGATTAATTTTTTTTCCTAATTTTTTATAAAGTTAATTTTAATATTTAAAAGTATTTAACATTTTGATATAATGAGCATGATAATATAATGATAGAATTTACAAAAATGTAGAATTGAGAAGTTAATTTTTTTTTTAAGAAAATAGAGATTTAATTATACTTTTAATAAATTTAAGATAATACTAGTTTTTAAACCTTTTTCTAATATTTATTTTTAAAAATATAATATCATTTTTAATATTTTATAGATTTTATATTTATATATTTATAAAAGTAATTGGATTAAATTTATTATCCTCTCATATATTATTATACATTTAGCGTAATTTTAGTTTATTTAAAAATTAGAATACAAATATACTATACCAATATACCATTATATTATTTTCATTGTATATAAATTACAAAATTAATAATTTGTATACTATACTATACTAACATATTATTTGTATACTATACTAATAGTATAATATACTATATTATAATATTATTTGTATACAAAACTAATATCTTTATATATAAATATATAAATATGGAAAGATATAAATATATGTAAAAATATAAACATATAAATATATATAAATATGTAAAGATATAAACATATATCTTTAATATTTTGTAAATGTAAATATAATTTATATATATTTTTAAATCTTTTTCTAATATTTATTTTTAAAAATATAATATTATTTTTAAAATTTAATATTTTTTTTTCAAATATATAAATATATAAAGATATAAATGTATAAGAATATAAATAAATATATAAATATATCATTATATAAATATATCAAAATATAAAAATATAAAAATATAAATATATTAATATATAAATATATTAATATATAAATATATAAATATATATAAATATATATATATATATATATATATATATATACATACAAATATATCAATATATCAATATTATCCCCTCATATATTAATATACATTATGCTATATAAATATATCAATATTTAAATATATCAATATTTAAATATATATATTAAAATATATAAATATATTTTTATTTATAGATTTTATATTTATACGGATATACATTTATTTGTATATAAATATAATTTATTTGTAAGTTATTATTAAAAGATCCTAGTAGCTCAGTGGTTGGAGTTTCGACCTCCAACTCTAAGGTGCAGGGTTCGAATCGAATCTTGACAATGACAATAAACCACCTAATAATAAGTTAAACTAAATAAATATAAATAAAAACTTAAATAAGCAAAATTAAGCAAAATATAATTAAGAGATAGGGATTATAAATAATAGATATAATAAAAATGTAAATAAATAAAAATAATTAAATTTGTTATTGATTAACTTTTTCATTGATTTAGTGACTGATTTAGTGACCGATTTAGTTATATATAATCGGTCATTGAATCGGTCACTAAAATCGATGACCAAGGAAATAGTGACCGATTCCAGTTGGTCACTATTTCGGTCATTATTTTAATTAGTAACCGATTTTGCACATTTAGTGACCGAATTTTCGATCACTATTTGGTGTTTTTCTTGTAGTGTACTTTTGAAAAATATTTATTAATTAAATAAAAATATAAAAGTTCACTTCATAATTAAATTGTAAAATTCAATTTAATATATCAAAAAAATAGTTTTCTTTCTCACATAGTTCATTTCTCACACCTTTCCTCCATTACACCAAATTATGGAATGCAATTCTACATGTTAATCCATCTTAACAAAAACATTCCACAATAATTTTCTACTTATCATGCTTCATAACATACATATAATATATCTCAATAATCAATTTAAAACAATTATCATAATACTAAACATAGAAATAAGCTAATTCTCAATCTAAATTCATCAATAAATCATATAAAATTACTAATGATTAAACAATCGATTCAAACAACATTCATGGATGCCTTATAATCATACAATGTTCCATACTCTCAAGTTGCTCCATTTAGAAGCCATAAAATTCACATAATCTTAAAACTTTAAAAATTCATAAAAAATAGAAATAGCATTCAAATAATTCCAAATAAATTTCTAATTAGCTTAGAAGTAAAGAGACTTCTTCTCAATGCTATTTCAAACAAAAGTAAATTATAAAAGTTATCTTACCTCTTATCTTATGTTGTAACTTGGTGAAGAGTAACTCTTGAGCAAATAATCTATCAAGTCTTTGGGTCTCCTCTTTGCACCTCTAAGTAGCCTCCTATATGTCAATTAAATACCTCAATTAAATCCTTAATTCCAACCATATTAGACCTCTAAAATCTCACTTCATTCATAGCCTAAAATTCTAAAATTCAAGACTATGGTTCTTTGAGTTATAAAATCATTTCTAGGGCCTAAATTGATGCTAATGGAATTAATACAAGTAGAAGAGAGTAATGGAAGTAATACACTTAGAGTAGGAAGAATCATAATAACAAATATGGACAAGATTCAGTATTTAAGAAATTTCTAGAGTTATATAAGTTGTTTTGGCATGAGGTCAGAGGCAAAATTTCAATAACTTAATTACCTACAATATTGATGAAGGAAATAAATTCAAATACCCTGTAAAATAAATGCAGTTTTTCAGTTTATATTGGTTGTTTCCAACATGGCTCAACTACAATAATACTCTGAACATGCTTTGGTAATTTGACTATAACTCATGCTACATATAAGTTATTGACATGAAACAAATTTCTAAATTTCGGAAATATAATTTCCTACAACTTTTATGAAGGAATCAAGTCCTAATTTCATACATATCAATCCCAGTAATTCAAAAACCGAGGCTGTTGAAACAGGGCAACCTCTTAACTTCACAACTATAACACTTGACAGTAAAATGAACATAACTTGAGCTACAAATATTCGTTTGATGTGAAACAAGTTTCTAAATTTCGATAACTTAAAGGGCTACAACTTTTATGAAGATACCAATTCCTAATTCTGTTCACACAAGTCCCAAAATTCAATGAACAGTGACTTACGAATTAGGGTGCTTAAGGTTTTTAGCTTAATCACTTCTAATCCTCAATTCTAAGTATTATTCTAGTGTCCTAGGTGTAAAACCTACAATAACACTCTTTCTACTCTCATTCAAGCTTAGTCAAGTGAGGAAAAAATTTGAGAATGCACCATTTTAAAAAATAAAATCGTAGAAATGTAGAGGAGATTGAGAGAAACAAACTTACCTCTTGGAGTTTCTCATAAAAATCAATATTTTCCCCTCAAAAAGCTTCAAAGTGAGGAGGGTTTGAGAGAAAGCGAGAAATGAGAGAAAACGAGAATTTACGGGAAGTTGCAGGGAGAATGCCTTTCTAAAAGTCAAAATTTAATTTTTTAGATATATTATTATTTTATTTTTTCTTTTTTTTTTTAATTCCAGAAATTTTCCAGAAAATCACAAATAATCTAACTAACATAAAACTCTATAGTCACTTTCCCCAATTCCTAATAATTTAATTATTAAAATTTTGATAAAATTTAATAAATTAGAAGTGCTGAGAGGTATTGAGAATTAGGATGTTACACAGGACTTGGTGGAGGGGGTTACATGGAGGTTGGGGTGGAGGCCTGAAGGAGATGGGTTTTAGTGATACAATATATGAGGGATTCTTTCATTGTTTTTTGTTTTCTTTTCCTTTAACATAAGAATATGTAGGAGATGGGAGATGGGTTTCAGTGATACAATATAAGAGAGATTCTTTCATTGTTTTTTGTTTTCTTTTCCTTTAACATAAGAATATGTAGTAGATGTTTTCTTTCCTACATCTAGACGTGTAAATGCTTACTTTCCTACATCTAGATGTGTAGATGCTTACTTTCCTACATCTAGATGTGTAGATGCTTTCTTTCCTACATCTAGACGTGTAAATGCTTTCTTTCTTACACCTAGACGTGTATATGTTTTCTTTCTTACATCTAGACGTGTAGATGCTTCATTTCCTACATCTAGACGTGTAAAAACTAATAAAATGTAAATTAAAAACTAATAAATTATAAATTGAGAACTGATAAAATTAAAGATGTGTAAATTGAAAACTGATGAAATTGAAAACTAATGAAATCGAAGGCAGATGAAATTGAAAATTGATGCTGATGAAACTAAAAACTTTCCTAGACATGCAGATGTTTTCTTTCCTACATCTAGACGTATAAATTGAAAACTGATGAAATTGAAAACTTTCCGTGTAGATGCTTTCTTTCCTACATCTAGACATATAAATTGAAAATTGATAAAATTTAAAACTAATGAAATTGAAAACTTTCCTACATCTAGATGTGTAAGTGCTTTCTTTCTTACATCTAAACGTGTAAATTGAAAACTGATAAAATTGAAAGCTGATAAAATTGAAAACTGAAATTTGGGTGGCTCCGATGTTGCAGGGCTTGGTGGAGAGGATGCATGGAGGTTGGGGTGGAGGCCCGAGGGAGATGAAAGATGAGTTTCAGTGATACAAATATGAGGGATTCTTTCATTATTTTCTGTTTTCTTTTCCTTTAACATAAAAACATGTAGATGTTTTCTTTCCTATATCTAGACATGTAGAGGGAAAACTAATAAAATTTAAAACTGATAAAATTGATATTGATGATAAAATTGATACTAATGAGTGGAAAGTTGACCAAGTACATATGGTGCGATTTCCCTTCTCCTAATTGTACAATTGACTAAGTGCATATGGTGCAATTTCCCTCCCCTAATTATTTTTAAGTTATGTGTAGTTTTTTTTAATTATTTTAAAGTTACTTCCAGTTTCTTCCCTAATTATATTTTAAGTATTGTCTTCCTTGATTGTGTTGTATTTTAAGTGTTATTTTTTATTATTCTGCAATTTATTGTTATTATTATATAATAATTTATTAAAGAATATTTATATTGGATTGAAATTGTTATTGTTTTTTGTGAATGTATGAATTAACAAGTGTGAATAATATTCCTATGGATAATAGTCAAAATAATGTCAATATTCTTATTGATAAACTTATTTTAAGTTCGATATATTATAATACTATTAAACTATATTATTTTATTAAATTCGATTCAACTTTGATTTAATCCCCGATTCAACTCTAGTTGACCCTTTGAACCTTAAACCCATACTCATACGGACACTGATTTGATGACTGGTTCGGTTTTAAGAATATTGGTTGAACCTTTGAACCTTAAATTCATATCATATATTCACTGGTTTGATGACATGATCGAATATTGATAACAGGAGAATTGTTGTAACAGGTGACTAGTAACGAGGATTAGGAAAAACATGAAAATGGGTCTACTGAGTTTGTGGGGAGAAAAAAAAGATTCTTTTTTATATTTTAATTTATTAATATTTTTAATTTATTTTTACTAATTCTATTAAAAACTTATCAAAAAATGACATGGTATCATAATTGTAATGGTTAAAAAATAATATGAATTGAAAGTTAGTTGTTATGAAAACTAACTGATATAAAAACTAGTCATTTTAAATTTATACATAGTTATGGAATGTTATGCAATATCTTACAACTTGTTCTAGTATTACAATATTATTATTTGTCTTTAAATAATGCAATTATCTTGTTGAGATTTAAGTCAAAATGCATGATGGGTAGTTACGTGTATGGGTATTACGTGCATGGGGCATGCATTACGTGCATGAGTTTCTTGTAGTTTTTTTTCTGTTTTGTTCACGTTCTCTGTTCTACTCTGTTATTTCTACTGTATATAAACATTACAGTTTTTATACATCAATAATATGGAATGTACTTCATTTTCTATCTGTAGCTCTCCCATTTCATGGTATCAAGAGCTTTTTACGGTCCAAGGACGTGAGTTGTGTGTGCCTGCAACCAAATCAGACGCTGTGTGTGGTGCAGTTTAGTGAGAGTGCATTTTTTTTTCAACGAAGTTGAAAGAGTGGTGTCTTGGTTTGTGGTGTAGCATGGCTGATATGGGTGGGATGATACAAGGGGGTCTACCTATCTTTGATGGTAGCATGTTCAACGATTGGAAGATTAAGATGAATGCGATCTTCATCTTTCAAGATGTGGCTGAAGTTGTTGAACATGGTGTTTCACCACCGGGTGCGAGGGCTACTGAGGATGATAAGAAGGCTTACAAGATTCAACAAAAGTTAGATGGCAAGGCAAGGTACTTGATCTATCAATGTGTTAGTTCACCGATCTTTAATAGGATTTCCATGGCGGGCACAACCAAAGAAGCGTGGGATATCTTGGTGGCTACGTATGGTGCGGGGGATAAACATAAGAAAGTGAAGTTACAGGCTCTGCGAAGGCAATTTGAGTTCTTCATCATGGAAGAAAGTGATTCGGTGGTTGGGTTCCTCAACAAGGTTCAAGAACTTGTTAATGGCATGCGTTCTTGCGGTGACAAAGTGTCTGAGCAGAATATCGTGAACAAGGTTTTGCGGTCACTTCCTCCAAGATTTGATAATCTTGTAATTACTATTGAAGAGACGAAAGATCTTGATGCACTGACCTTTCAGGAGCTGCAACATTCGCTCGAAGCTCACGAGTTGCGGATGTCTGAGCGGAGATCCTATCAAGAGCAGGTTCTTCATGCAAGAACAAATGGAAAGCAGAAAAGAGATTCCAAGAAAGGAACTAAGACAAAGAAGAAGGGAGATTCAGATGAGCAGAAGTACAAAGACCAGAAATAAAATTCTGGAGAAGATAAAGAGAAGAAGTATGACAAGAAAAAAGTCAAGTGCTATAACTGCCAAAAATTCGGGCATTATGCACGAGACTGCTGGGATGGTGACGGAGCCAAGAACAGGCCAAAGAAGAATGCGCGAGTTCATCTTGCAGAGGAAGAAAATTCTGATGAAGAGGCTGTCATGTTGATGGCGGAGACAGATGCGAAGCTCGACGGTGAAAATTTGTGGTACTTGGACTCTGGGTGCTCCACGCACATGACCGGGAAGAAAGATTGGTTTGTGCAAATAAGTGATATAAGTCAAGAAAAGATACGTTTTGCAGATAATAGTTCTCTCACAGCAAAAGGAACTGGTAGAGTTGTGTTGCGAAACAGTGATGACAAGGACGTGATAATTGAAAATGTTCTATATGTTCCCGGGTTGAAATCAAACCTTCTGAGCTTGGGCCAGTTGATGCAAAGAGGTTTCAAGATGACACTTGAAGATAATTCTTTACGTGTATTTGATCAAACCCAGAAGCTGGTCATACATGCCTGGTTTGTCCTCCAATAGAACCTTTCGGGTTAAGATGGATGTTTTGAAGCACCGAGTGTTTCTTCATTGTCGGTGACAAGTGCGAATGGTCTGTGGCATCTCAGATTTGGACATCTTAACTTTCGGGACTTGAGAGAACTTGGACAGAAGAAAATGGTAGTTGGTATTCCTCATATGTGTGTTCCAGGACGAAGTATGTAGAGAGTGTATGGAGTGCAAGCAAACGCGGAACAAATTCGGTAAAGAGGTATCATTGAAAACTTCGGAGAAACTTGAGCTAATACATTCAGATATTTGCGGTCCATTGCCGGTTGAAACACCTGGGGGCAGCAAGTATTTTATTACTTTCACAGATGATTACACGAGAATGTTATGGGTGTATTGCTTGCGAAAGAAGAATGAAGCGTTTAAAGTGTTTGTGCGGTTCAAAACACTGGTTGAAAATCAGTGTGACAAGCAGTTGAAGAGACTTCGTGTTGATGGTGGGGGAGAATTCAACTCTCTTGAATTCAAGAATTTTTGTACTGAAAATGGTATAGCTCATGAGGCAACACCACCATATACGCCACAACATAATGGTACTGCAGAAAGGAGGAATCGGACTCTACTTAATATGGTAAGGTGCATGCTTAAAAGTAAAGGCGTTCCAAAATATCTCTGGGGAGAAGCGGTTGTAACTCATATGAGAGTTTTTGGATCTCTTTGTTATCACCGCATTCTAGATCAAACACGTAGCAAACTTGATGACAAAGGTGCTATGGCAGTCTTGATTGGCTATCACGTAACAGGCGGCTATAAATTGTTTGATCCAAACTCTCGAAAGGTAATCATATGCAGAGATGTGGTGGTTGATGAAGGCTCGTGTTGGAACTGGCAGGAAACGAGTCAAATAATTCAATCAGGTACAACGCCAACAATTTCACTAACTGATAATGTCGTAGGTGATGTAACAGTGCAGCAGGAACCTCATGAACAAACAAGAAGATCACAACGAGTTACTCAGCCACCTACACGTTTCAAGGATTATGAGGTTTTCAATGATCTAGCGGTAACGGAGAATGGAAATTTTGTGCATTTCGCTCTGATCGCTGAGGCAGATCAGATAGAATTCTATGATGCTATTCGAGATACTCATTGGGTGCGAGCCATAGAGGAAGAGATTGAAGCAATAGAGAAAAACAAGACGTGGACACTGGTTGAACCACCACTAGACAGAAGACCAATTTCTCTGAAATGGGTATATAAAATAAAAGTAAATCCCAAGGGTGAAATTGTGAGGTACAAGGCGAGATTGGTTGCCAAAGGATTTCTTCAAAAAGCAGGAGTAGATTATGGAGAAATTTATGCTCCTGTGGCTCGACTGGAGACTGTTAGAATCATTGTAGCAATGGCAACGTGGGAGGGTTGGTCTTTCCACCAACTAGACGTAAAATCTACCTTCTTAAATGGCTATTTGGAGGAGGAAATATATGTAACACAGCCATTGGGATTCATAGTCAAAGGAGAAGAGCACAAGGTATACAGGCTTAATAAGGCACTCTATGGGCTTAAACAAGCTCCTAGAGCTTGGAATCATCGGATCAATCAGTACTTGGAGAAGATTGGTTTTGTGAGATGTGTTTCCGAACAAGGGGTGTACATCAAGTGCTGGAAAGACAAAGACAGAGAAGAGAAAATGATAGTATGTCTCTATGTAGATGATATGTTGTTGACTGGGAGCAAGCCAGGAGCAATTGCAGAGTTTAAATCTCAAATGCATAGTGAATTTGAGATGAGTGATTTGGGAAGACTCAGCTATTTCCTAGGCATTGAATTTCAGTTCACAAAAGCTGGAACTATTATGCATCAGATGAAGTACTCACGAGATCTTCTCAGCAGGTTCGGGATGAAGGATTGCAATGCTGCAGTAACTCCAACGGAAATGGGTCTGAGATTAGAAAGGTACACTGAGGAGGAAGATGTTGATCACACAAAATTTCGCAGAATCATTGGGAGTCTGAGATACTTGTGTAACACCAGACCTGATTTGAGCTATGGTGTTGGCATTGTTAGTAGATATATGCAGAGCCCGAAAGTTAGCCATATGAATGCCGTAAAACGTATATTACGCTATTTGCGTGGAACGTGTAATTTTGGTATAATGTTTCCATGCAAGAAGCCAGGGGGTGAGATGAAATTGGTGGGATATGCAGATGCAGATTGGTGTGGTGACAGGGAAGATAGAAAAAGCACTGCAGGTCACATATTTTACTATGGCGAAGGACCAGTGTCCTGGAATTC